TTCGCGCTTGGTGATGTTCGAGCCTGGTCCGGTGAGAATCCGGCTTGCTCGGTCCCGGCTTTGTAGGGATGCGAGGTCAATGGTCTAACGAATACGGCATGCACGACTATGAGTACACCCCCCCCCCCCTGCACACACACGCTCGCATCACTACCAATCCGCCTCACACCGTTTATGTATCCTTCATTCTTGTCCCCTCTGGTCGATCTGGTGGTTCAAGGGTCCTCGACATCCGAGCGACGCATCGATACATCCGCAACGATCCGGAGCGAATTCGGCTGCTGAACGAGGTCGGCTTCCGCTGGACTGATGCCACCACAGCTAGCTACGGCAACGTCGTGCGAGCGCTAAAGGTGCTATTATTTTGTAGCCAAACACGCTCAGAGGAGCTCATAAAAGTTTATCGTGTAGCCACATTGCTCCCTTGTCCGGCTACATCACATCCATGGAATGATCCAACGCCGTGGTCATGTCCAGCACGAACTTGCGCTCCGTGTTGAGCGCGGGATCCAGCGCGGTTCACGGCACCGACTCACGGGTGCCTCGCCGCGGCACCGGGGCCCTCCCGCCCTTCGCCCCCACGCAGCCCACACACGGGTGCCACGCAGCCCACACACGGGTGCAGCTCCCTCACCAATCGAACACCCTGCTGCTTTGCGGTCTGGCGCATCAGGAATTCATTGACATGGCCGGAGGAGACGTGGATGCAAAAACTCATCCACGCCTCCCCCGGCCATGTGAATGGATTCCTGATGCGCGAGACCTCAAAGCAGGAGCGTAGTCGATTGGTGGGGGAGCTGCACCCGTGTGTGGGCTGCGTGGAGGCGGAAGGGCAGGAGGGCCCCGGTGCCGCGGCGAGGCACCGGCGCGTCGGTACCGGGGACCGCGCTGGATCCCGCGCTCAACTCGGAGCGCAAGTTCGTACTGGACATGACGACGGCGTTGGGTCATTCGATGGATGGTATGCAGTCGGACACGGGAGCCACGTGGCTCCACGAGAAATTCATGAGCTCCTCACTGGAGAGGGAGCAGACGGATAGGGGTAGCATTGTCAAAGAGTTGTTCCACCTTCGGTTGGAGTTGGAGCTTTTGTTTTGTTGTTGCTGCTGCTGCTGTAAAACAGCCAGGGTAGTAGAGGTTTTCTGCTAAGTCAGTAGATGTGTCAGTGTTAATGAATCTTTGACCATCGGTATAAACCGCTTCCTTCTTGGCAATACGGCTCGTCCGGTCCGAATCAAACCCACTGGAAGCGTGCTTGTGAGGTTCAGATTCCCCCGAAAACCGCGACACACTCTTCGCGGTTTGAAGAATAACGTTAGGGTTTTGGAAGCAATTTGCAGCAGCCCAAAGTGTCTCAAGACAGACATGGCTTTTTCGTGTGCATAGTGTATAACCCGCGCCCTCCCCTTCCCCGGTATTCTTATGTACGGCCTTCTTGAAAAACAAAAATCTTGTCCAGGCGTACCGCAAGATCAAGGGCCGCGACTTATCGGTACCGAGCTCCTTTGTCGTGCCATCCTTCCTCCCGTGGCCACAGTCGTGCTGGGGGCTCCGGCTGGGAACAGCTCTCGTCGACATTCGCAGCAAGGGCAGGTGATAGTAGAGTCCAAGATCACAGCATCTTAGCCTCCGCCTCACCAAAGGTTTTCGGCGGAAAAATAGCTGTCCTTGTCGAGCTTCGTTCTTGAAGGACGCTTTCTTCCGCGAGGCTTGCAGAAACTTTTCTTGACGCAGCTAGGGCATCGTATTTGTTTGCAGTGATTGTGCGCGCGAATCGTTTTAGGGGATGCAAGGGTACTTTGCCACGATGGGGACAAGAGCGGTATAATCCTCTCTGGCCTAGCTAGTAGTATTTAGTCGCGACAGACCTGTGATCCGCAACGATTGAGGATGGGAGAACGAAGCAACTTGCCGCTGAGCCACTTCTTTTGTGTGGCGTGGCGATTGCCTAGCTGGACTACCTTGCAGCGATCACACACCTCCTAGACAAGACTTTCAAGACTTGATTTGATTGCTCCACAACGAAGAGGATTCGAAAACCGACCTGTTAGCCCACCGTTTTGGCCGTCTCTTGATTGTGGGACAATCGAGCTATGCGGTGACTCTCTCTCTTGTCGTAAAGGCTTACTTTGGCTTCAAGGGTACCATCCTAAAACCTACTATCGATATATTGGCGGGAATGGTAATGAATGATGGGTGACAACTGGTAGAATGCGCTTGGGGCCCAAGTGTACTCCTGTCACTTGCCTGTGGGGTGAGCAATCCTTGTCCTGTGTAAAGTAATACTTCCTCTGTCACATAAGTGAAGTCCGTTACGGGGGAATTTACATATCTCACCAGCCAAGGTGTTCCTGAAGCTCTAGTTAGGTTTGTTTGAAAGCGCTTGTTACGCACATAACTTAAAATAAAAAAAATACGACTCACAATTACTGAGAATTAGTGCAAATACGGGACTATTTTGCGAATATTTTGGGAATATTTTGAAAACATTTTGAGAATATTTTCAAGAATATTTGCAGCTTTGTGCTGTGTGAGCACCCACTACCACCACAACGACGTAGCTATCATGGGGAACGACGCCCAGACACCCCCACGTCGTAAGCGGGGTGCGGAAGTATCGTTGGGTCGTCGGTACGCCATGGCGGTGGAGATAGCGTTGGCGATTCCGCCGGGCAAAGAAAGGGTACCCAAGGGCTTTCTAGGCCCCCTCGCCGAGCGGTACGGCGTTGGTAGTGATTACCCCAGAAAACATTGGGCGGACGCGACATGGGTCGTTGAGTACAAGGGGAGGGTAGGGTTAGGACCCTACGCCTGTCGGCTTTGCCCCGCAAGTGACTTGATTTTAGTGTGGCGCCCCCAAGTGTCTTGGTTTTAGTGTGGGCCTCGAAAATGTCTTGATTTTAGTGTGGGTTCACTACTATGTTGGTTTTTGTATGGGAGGACGCGAAATGGATCGTTCAGTAGAGGTAACCTTGGGTTTAGGGTTCGGGATAATTCTTGTCTTTTTTTGGTATGTTTCGTTTCGTGCCCCCACCCCCACCCTCATGGAAAGGGGCAAAATACGGCCTTTTTTGGCCTGACCACTTTTTTGTCGGCCGCTAGTGCATGCAGGGTAGTGCGCAAGAAAAAAAAAGAAATATGGGTTTCAACCCGAAAAACGCTCAAGATTTCAAAAAAGTATCGCCTAAGACATCGGACACGGCTAAATGGCCGTGTAATCATAACGGACTTTACTTATGTGACAGAGGAAGTATACATGATGGCTACGCGCGTTCCTCGGATAACCGTCCCCAGTACTCAACACCAACCGCTGAGGGCGGTAGTGCACCGGACACGATATACTGTGGAGACGTTGACAACCAGCAGCACCAAAATGGCAATATCGGGAATGTTCTGTTGCAGGTATCTAAAGGGAGAAGAGAGGCAGCAGAGGCGCAACGAGCTGGAGCGCTTGGGGGTGTTCGCGCAGTCGCGGGTACGTACAGACGTAGTGCTTGCCACGCAGTCAATGCAGCTTGATAACGGGGAGTCTGAAGCAACACGCCACAGTTCTTACGGAATTCCACTTTCGTATCCGACGCAGAACGCGGGTTTGACTTCGTTTACCTTTTGATTGAAACATGCGTGGGGGAAGGAAAAATGATCGTGGAGGCGCGTAGTTCGTGTTGCGAGGTTAGGACCTCCGAAGGATCAGTTTGATACGTGGAAGAATCCTCCAGCACACGAAAGGCTGGACGTGCGTGTGTTTCATCGAGGACTTCGCTCGCACTTGCCGGCCAAGGAACCGGCTGACACAACTAGCACCTTTCACAAGGCCGCCTCATCCCTCGATCGAAACATGGAACAGGCAGGCAGGCAAGAGGTCGAAAATTGTCAAAAGTCGGGGGCGTGCGCCTTCCTGGTGCGGCGCGTGCCTCCATTTATCGTACATCCGTTCAGCTACGGTGTTTGACGCTGCAAGGTTTGACGCTGCAAGGGCTCTCTTCCTCCCCACCCTCTTTCCCTCCCCTGTCGCGGCAACCATGGTACCGCCCTTCCCTCGATGGTGCTCCCTTCGGTTCAGGAGGCGATCCTGGGGAACGTGGTAAAGGGGTTACGGACCTATCTCAGTGTGTTTGGGGACACCATGGTCCCGCAGGGGTTCGTAGTCCCAGAAGGGGAAGCCTGGCCGGAAGAATGCAGGAAACTAAAGCTGGGTAAGACCAACATTATACAAAACGTTTTTTCTGTTTCTTTACACACCTCCAATGTTTGCTCTTCGTCCGCGGGCCAGTCTGGTTGAATGTAGCGCGTGTGGCTCTTCTGCTGTGTTTGAAATATGTATTGCAAATCGCCAGTACCCTGGTTGCACCGTTTGTTTTCAGCGTTGCCAGAAGCGGTCGGTTATCGTTGGCGGTCTTTTTCGCCCGCGTGTGGGTACCACGAGCGTTGTGGGAGCTCCTGCTGTCGGTGTGGTTTGTTTGTTTGGGAGTGGCAGAACTTTTCGACGTCGGATGGTCAGGCCATTTTAGGAAAATAAATGCAAATACAGAAAGCTACCCATTCGAGATATCACCACAGCCGAACGGGATGTGTTGGAGTCTCTACAGTGATTGGAGGGAAACCGGCTGGATACTGGGCTAATTTGAATCAATTAATGCCTTACACTGAAAAACTATTATTATGCCAGCAGGTGCTAATCACAAAAACACTGTATAAGCACAAATGCCACAAGACATTTCCCCCGTAGTTTACTCTTTTCTACTGGGTCAACGACAAAATTATCGGGGAGGAACCCTCCGTTATGTCGTGTGTTGTACTATTCTGCCTTCACAGGAACACGTCGCAGTGCCATTTTTGTTCGTTTTGCGGTGCATGACCTCGGCAGCCATATCAAAATGCTCGCCCTTACCAAGGAGACCCTGCAAGAGAGTATCATAGGTGATCATTGTTCTGCCGTCGGAACAACCAAGGTCCTGCTCTGCGAAGTACCCACTCGCAGGTGTAGCGCCTTTTGTGTAGCGGGTAAGGAAGACCGTGTGATGGGTTGAAATTGCAAGAGATGGGACGATACGAAGCCCCGCTCCCTTTTTCGTACCCCTGACCATTGCCCTCCACTTGCTGCCCCCAGGTTCAATGCTGTACGGCCTCCGCAGGAACCCCGATCGGCTGAACCGGCACCCGGAGATACGGGCGGAGATCACCGCACTAGGGTTCAGCTGGAAGGTACCCAAGAGGGGCCGTCGGAAAAGTATCGACACCACTGCTGCCGCCGCCGCCGCTACATATGCCGGGGTCGATGGCACGGCGCCGAGAAGTAGAGGCCGCGGCAGGAACGAAGCGCTCGGTGGGGAGCCGGGAGGCGTAGCGGCGGCAGCAGCAGCGGTCCTGCGACCATCGCCACCGCCGTCGGATGCCGCTGTTGTTGTGTTGGCGGCCGAAGGGGTCGGGCAGGACGTCGAAGGCCCTTCGCGGTTAGGCGATGGAGCTGGTGGTCGTGGGTTTGATGTTGGGGGTGAGGGTGGTACTGTTGTCAGTGATGGTAGGTCTGAAGGTGTGCGTGCCCGAAGTCGGGCACATGGTGAAGATAGCACCACAGCGAAGACGAATAAAGGTAGCGTAGTAGCGAACGGTAGTTCAAGTTGTAGGAATAGAGCGGGTCGACTCCTGTCCCCCGCAGGCTGTTAGAAGAAGGTGGGGAGATGTTGGGAGGGGGGGGCGGCGTGCGGGCTGTTGGGCCGCCGGGCGCTGGAGCTTAGACTAGCGCACCTCGCTAGAAGCGCCATGTTCGCAAAAGGTTTCGTGGCACGCAATTCGCTGATTGGTCAATGCACCTGCAGTGGAATTTTCAAATTGGTAAAAGAACAGGGACGGCCCAAGATCGTTGGTCGACGGGTGGGGTAATCCACGGCCAAACCGAGGGGTGCTGAAGGTTTGCCGTTTACTTTCGAAGCTAGTGGTTGCTTGTTCGAACCCGGTGCGCTGTACGTTTCAGGAGGCGGAAATGTTTACCGTTTCGTTTCGAAACTAGTGGTTGCTGGTTCGAACCCGGTGCGCTGTAAGTTTCTTTGCGCGGCCTTAAGCTAGGATATTTGGCCCCTAACCGCAACCCAACCGACCCGACCCAAACCTATGGCAGTGGAAAGTGCTAGGTCACTACACGAAGCAAGCCTAGGCCGCGGCAAGCCGCGGGGCTGGCGCTAGGTTGCTGCACCGTTTGCGTTCTAGGTTGCTGTTGCTGTCCCGTTTAGGCTAACTAAGCCGCGGCGCAGGAGGGGGTAAGGGCTAGGTTGCTGTGCACCGTCAGGGCTAGGTTGTTGTTCGTCAGGGCTAGGTTGCTGTACGGTGTCAGGGCTGCACCTACCCAAGGAGTGTTTCAAGAAATGGTGTCCCGACATGGAGATCACTGCTTTCGACCAAGTCGTCAGCACTACTGGCCAAACCACATCCTGGCCGCGGCCGGAATCCTGGGAAAATCAATCGTGTCTGATGGACCTGTTAATGTTGTCACCTTGGCTGACTAGGAACTAGAGAGACGGATCCTCTCGGCTGACCGACCGATCCGATCCGCATTGTTAGACTAGATACAGCTGTGATGGATCTTTCCGAGCTAGAGGGGCTTTTGGCGGAGAATCATAAGGTTATTATCCATCATACGCTGCCTCTCGCCCACATTACTCTCCTCTCGAGAGGAAAGTCGTCCCCTCAACATAAAACATGCATTGCAATTCTATCTGATCGACGCACAGGATACGCACGTCTCGACCGTCCGAGAGACACAAACATCATGGCTTAGCAGAAGTTTCATCGACATCCCGTGTTCTGAGGTTGTTTATTGTTGAAAAATTACCAGCAGCGGCTGGGTAACATAAACGGATGAAGTGACACGCAGTTCGCGGTGTTCCCCGCCTCTTCATAAATCCTGGTCTAGGATGAAAGCGACGCGCTGCAAAGCTCGTTGTTAGTAAACCATAATCGACTTCGTAAGTCGTGAGGGAAGGGATTGCTGTACCCTTCTCGCGATAAAAATACCTCAGGCATGAACCGCAGGAGGGGTCCAGCCCCCCCCTCCTTTGTGACCCCGGTTGGGTCGTCTAGTTAGTAGAACTGGAGGATAGGGGCCAGAGGGGCAGAAGACAGAGTCCAATGATGGGAGAAAACAAAAAAAAACAACGATAATGCGCCCGAACGATTGATCCCGCAGCCCACGATAGACAGAAGAAAAAGGGATCCACCTTGCACACACACGCGTGGCACACGCGTGGCGGATCTTGCATCATCGTCATTCAGAGTCGGCAAGAAGCACATTCTTTTTGAGCTACCTCCTCAAATATTTTCCGTGAAACAATTGAAGCGATATTTTTGATGCCCCCGCCGTCACAACAACTACAAAAAAAAAGGATCTTTCGCCGTAGTTGACGATTCGTCCACAATCGCCGACTTTTTTGTTAGCCTATGCTTTAAATTAGATGCTCCGACGACACTTCAAAAAAAAAATTACTACGCCGCCCAACGCCGCCGGCACGGCTCCGCGGGCCGATTCAAGGTTGAGCTTCCCTGATGCAGAAGTTCCCTTACGCAGTGGCTGTTGAAAACGAAATCGTATCCCCATTTGTGTGGGGTTCCCCTGGCAACTTTACGTTGAGGTCCCCTAACGCAGCGGTTCTCCAACGATGGGGGCGGTGAGGTTCCCTGGTGCAGAGGTTTCCCTTGCTTTTTTCTGGGAAACGGTCCCCTAATAATGCAGAGGTTCCCTGATGCATTGCAAGGTGGCCAGACGAGTCCGCGGCGGGTGCTGACGAGCATTTGAAAAAAAATAAAAGCAACCAAATAACATGCATACAGTATGCATGGACTAGGAGTATTTGAGTATTTGATTATATGGAAATGTAGGTTTGTATGGAAATGTAGATTTGTAAGGAAGCGATACAGGTCGCAGTAGGCGCGCATGAAAACTCCGAAGCAAAAAAAGCAAAAAAAGCGCATCTAGTCACCCGAAGCCTTCCGCTCGTTGCTTACAAAATAGGTCGCTCGGTACAGCAGTAGTCCTCTCCCTTGATCTTCGTGTCCGCCGCAAAGCCTCTTCTTACTCTTCGTGAAGGCAAGTCGTGAACGCCCCAGGGATCTTGTGGTGTGTCCAATCCTGTCTCCCCCCACCTATGCCGCCCTCCGAGGTGTACGACGCATGCGGCTTGAGATTGCCGGCTTTTTGTTCCCCCACCTTCCCGCATCTGAATACCCTTGCCGAAAACACGCTGTTAGATATGCTCGGTGTGTGTGTAGGTGCCATCGCACACAACCTCCACGTTAGCGGCTACAGCAGCAGGCATCGTGGACAGACGGAAAACTGCAAGCAGTAGCGATAAAAAATGGGTCTTCATCTCGCCTGTTGCCCACCTTTTGATGTTTGCGCGCATGAGCAGTGTGGCGGGGCTTCTGGCGCTGTCTAACTCCCGTGAGTGATTTTTTCGCGGAGGGGCTCTGCTGCAATGTGTCCCCGCATCGCGCGAGGTTGTGCGCACGTGATCTCGCTGTCTCGCTGTCTAGCCCTTGGTCGCCAGCGCCCAGAACAACAAAATCTGTATCGCCAGGAACATTAACCTCACTGCTACCCTCACCACAGAGGGGGGTTAGTCTAGTCGCTTAGTCTAGTCTACAGTATGGGTTGACGTCGACACGTATTTTCATCGAGCGTACATCTTATCGACAGGGACGAGGAAGAGCGGAGTGGGGTTGTTATCTCTCTGTACAAATACATGTGTCGCTGGGGAGAGGCTTGTTCGCTGACAACGTCGGTACGTGTCTGTCGCGAGCAGGATCAGCAAAAGACGGTCAACACATCGATGCAGTTTGGCACCGACCCCGGAGAGGGGCGGGGGGATGACAGGCAAAGGCGGGACCCGGCCCCGAAGACCGCCTGGCGCCTGAAGGTCTCTCCCTCCCTCCCCGGAGGCGCCAGCTTTTCTTTGCTCCTGCCGGCCAGGAGAGCGGCCTGGTCGACCCCACACAAATGGGGGATACGAATTCGTATTTAACAGCCACTGCGTAAGGGAAAACCTGCATGAGGGAACCTCAACCTCGAATTGCCAGGGGAACCCCACACAAATGGGGATACGATTTCGTATTCAACAGAGTCACTGCGTTAGGGAACCTCACCCCAGAGTTGGCAGCGCGTTAGGGTCTAGGGTTAAGGGCTGGTGACCAAATGTTACCCATTTACAGCATCTGAGAATCATTGCATACAGCAATCAGCTGCATCTACTTACTATACACATCCTACAGCAGTATTGCTCTGTATTTCAACACGCCCCCACGATGGATGGAATGTCACGAATACTGCGCAAATCCTGCAAGCCCTTCTGCACCTCGTTCGATTCGGTACTCTTGCATTACACACGCGCCCATAAGCGCTCTTGCATTACACACGCGCCCATAAGCGGTAAAATGGAACGCGCGTTACTCATGCTTGAACTGCCTGTTCAGCTGCTCCCCTTCTCATGTAAATTGTCCCTTATTTACTACCCGCATTCAGTGAAGTTTGCTCAAGTGGCTGTTAAATACGAAATCGTATCCCCCATTTGTGTGGGGTTCCCCTGGCAATTCAAGGTTTAGGATCCCTGATGCAGAAGTTCCCTTACGCAGTGGCTGTTGAATACGAAATCGTATCCCCATTTGTGTGGGGTTCCCCTGGCAATTCAAGGTTTAGGATCCCTGATGCAGAAGTTCCCTTACGCAGTGGCTGTTGAATACGAAATCGTATCCCCATTTGTGTGGGGTTCCCCTGGCAACTTTACGTTGAGGTCCCCTAACGCAGCGGTTCTCCAACGATGGGGGCGTTCCCTGGTGTAGAGGTTTCCCTTGCTTTTTTCTGGGAAACGGTCCCCTAATGCAGAGGTTCCCTAATGCATGTGTGTTCGATGTACGCTGGGGAGTGATCATGATGCGGCCAGGTGCTTTTCCCGTGGTGTGCCAAGCTACAACGGTTGGCCGCTGCGCCCGTGGATGTCCCGCGCCGAACGACGCGAACCCGGCATGCAGGTAAACTCTCCGGCTGCCACAGGGCACCCGACGTTGGGCGTCCACGGCCGCGTCCTTAGGGCTCGCGGATTCCTGGGGCAGGGGTTCGATCACGGGCAACAGGCAAGCAACATTGAGCCTCGCCGTTGTCCCTCACGTGTGTAAATGTCGGTATGTACATCATATTATCGTTCGAGCGCCGGTGCCGCTGTGGTTGAGTGAAAACAAGATGCCTGGTTATGGGAACTCCATCGGGTCTGACTCGCTCACCTCCTTGCACCACTCGCTGCTGCCGGAACTTTTGTGCATGCACAGCATTGTGTCGACGATGCGTACTCCCGCCTCTTCGATCTGATTGGTGACGAGGGGATCGATGCCGGACTCCCCGTACCCCCTCCGCTGGCATTCAGTGCCGTGGAGTGGACCTCGAAGGTGAGCAGCGGGAAACTAGCGCCCGATTGTGCAAAGCGAGGGTGAGTGAATCGGACCCAGAGGGCTGGGTCGTGTTTGCGGTGGCCTCTGTTCGTGCTTTAACACAAACCAGATATGTCTTTGTGCGAACCGGCAACTTGGCTCGTGTTTTTGCTCCTAGCTCCAGACAGTCAGGAATTGGCTCGAACAAAGCAGCAACGCGATTGTCCAATGTCCGAGGAATTGCGACCATTACAATCACATGACGATGAGTTGGGCACCCACACCGTCATCACTGAAAGACTGGCGCTCAAATTCACAGGCGTTTTGCCCTAACTGCCGCGTGGAGCGCAACATGGTCACGGAAACAGCCATCAGCATCCCGGTGTCGTTCGCGGACGGAATCGACACCTCCACAACCTCCAAGAGCAGCTCGATAACAACGCGAACCCGCAGACGGTGGAAAACTCAGGCTGTGAAAGGTTTGTAGGGGCAATTCGTCCGCCCCACCCCCCCGGTGCTTGCCATCGGGGTTGGGTTTTCGTCGCTTGGCAACGACGTTGTAAAACAAGCCAATTCACTTCGTGAACTCGGCAACCAGGTTACCGGTTTTTTTTTTTTACCTCTGTTTTTTTTTTGG